TTGATGCTTATCGTTTCTAAATTGACTAGCCCGGATCTACGGGCGTCACACTAAACACAGTAGTTTATTTGTCAGTGTGTGCTGTCTGCATGTTGCTAATAGAAAGTATTAGCTGTCGTATACAAAAGTTTATATAATTTATTGGGAAAAACTTTTCAGAAATGTAATGTATTCATCAAATTTTTGGCACATGTGTATGTGTCCAACAAGGATTAGCATTAGCAGCTACCTTATATTTCTTGTTGCATTCTTCTGAAGTATTATCATCTGATTTGCTAAATGTTGACATATGGGACATGAAAAATTCACTTGTTTTAGAAAACAAGTTTGCAGTTGGGGCCTTTTCATCTTCTGTGAGGGATTGGCTCAGCTTCCTAAAGATTGCCTTATCTTGAGATGCATGTCCATAATGCCTTAGAATTTCATGAAATTCATAATCTTGTATATTCATCAAATCAAATATATACTTTAGCCAAGAGGATGCTTTAACTCATGTACTTTAGGCAAGAGCCAATATAACTTATAAGTTCTTCTCTTACTATTATAGAACATTTAGCTTGTTAGGACAACTGTTATTTGTTTTTTTAATACAACTATATGATGCATAATTTCTGGAGCCACTTTTATTGGGATTTATACTTATTTTTTTACTCATGTACTTTGTGTCTATCTCTCTTTATATATATCATTTATCTTAATGTGTGTGTTTAACTGTGTCTATGTTTCTTGATCCTAAATGCAGGCCTTACACAATATGTTGAAGGAGCGATTCTTTCAAACAAAATCCTCCCCTCTTGTTGTTGATGACCGGCTGAGCTTCAACATTTAAATGTTGAAGAATCAAGACTTGATAAGTGTATAAGGTAAACACAACACCTCAACTCTATGGAATTTGATCATAATCAAGACTTGATAAAGTAATTCCATTCCTTTACATGATTCCATCATACCAATTACATGTGATTCACATGTAAATCACATATGAATTACATGTGATTCACAAGTGCATCACATATGAATTACATATGATTCACATGTAAATCACAAGTGAATCACATATGAATTACATGTGATTCACATATGAAGTACATGTGATTCACATGTAAATCACATATGAATTACATGTTATTCACATGTAAATAACATGTAATTCACATATGAATTACATGTAAATCATATGTAATTCACATATGATTCACATGTAAATCACAAGTGAATCACATATCAATTACATGTGATTCACATGTAAATAACACATGTGATTCAAAAGTGAATCACATATCAATTACATGTGGTTTACAAGTGAATCACATATGAATTATATGTGATTCACATATAAATCACAAGTAATTCACATATTAATCACATGTAATTCACATGTAAATCACAAGTGAATCACATATGAATTACATATGATTCACAAGTGAATCACATAAGAATTACTTATGTATATGAATTACATTTGATTCACAAGTGAATCACATGAGTTATATGAATTATATGTGATTCATATGTAATTCACATATTAATCACATGTAATTCAAATGTAAATTACATGTGCATTTTTGTGAGTGTTCTTGCATTAATCAAATTTTTTAATTTTCTTGTAGATTTTGAAGAATTTATGGAAAATATTGAAGAGGTGAAAAGTGATAAATTGAAGAAAATATGAAAATCTTGATATGAAGAAATGATAACAATGTGAATATTCGTAGCATTTTTTATTTTTTATTTTTTATTTTGTATCGAATAAAATACTTGTACTATTATGTTTATAGATTGATAATGAGATTTTTTATGATTTACTTACGAATATAATAGTATAAGAAATATGCATATATTCATTTGAAAAAAAAAATATGCATATATGCACCTAAAATGTTGATTTTTTTTTGTTAAAAAAATAGAGTTTTTTTAAATATTTTAGTTTTTTTTATAAATTTACTAATTTTTTAAAATTTATATTTTTTTAAAAAATGCACATTTTTAAAAAAATTTGCAGTTTTTTTAAAAAAATTGTAGTTTTTTTTTGAAAAAGTTGCACTTTTTTTGAAAAAAATTGCAGTATTTTAGAAAAAAAAAATTCAGTTTTTTTGAATTTTAAAAAAAAAATAACTACAGTTTTTTTAAAAAAATTGCAGTTTTTTTTAAATGCAGTATTTTTTTAAAAAAAAATTGCAGTTTTTTTGATATGCTTTCCAAAAAAGTTAAAAAATCTCCATTTAAAAAAAACGAAAATTATTTTTTTTATATAAAAAAATCCGAAAATTTGTTTTATAATGTTAATTTGAGAGCTTTTTATTAATATTTGCAATAATACAAAAAATTAAGTTGGATTGGTATGATGACGATCATGCCCTTAATGAATTAGTTTTGATCCAACGCTCCACTTTTAGTTCTCGGGTTCTCGGGAAACTATAAGTTCTCAACCGATCTCAACCCTATATATATATATATATATATATATATATATATATATATATATATATATATATATATATATATATATATATATATATATATTATTACTAAATACGTACAACAGTCGATAATAACTATAAATAGACTTGAGGAGGAGAGTTTAGGATCATCCTTATGTATTTTATATTATACTTATATTATGTTTATTATGTTAATATATTATTAAAATATATATTAAATTTGTTTATACACATGTTTATTTTATAATAATATCCAACTGCGCATCTTTATGTCTACACAATCCGTTCCCGGCTATAATATTAATGTTATTTTGTTAATTAAAGATTTATTTTATTATATTAGATCAAACCAATTAGCATTTTATTATTATATCGTTGATTATTTTATTTATTAACGTAATCTTTTAACAGATTTAAATAAATTGATTATTTTATTTATTAAATAACGTATTAGATCAAACTTTTTTTTAACAGCTTTTATTTAACTAACATATCATATAAATATTGATATCTGAATAAGTGATCATCTATAAATGATTAATATAAATATTATAAGTATATAAAATGCATTGATGTATAGGAGGTAATTGTGAAGTTCTCATATAACAAATATAATGATTTTTCTCATTACATGGTTACATCTATTATGTAGCTAATTGTCTTGTCATATTAAAATTTCAACTCCATGAAGATGTGATTTGAATCGGAACAATAGGTCAAGACATATATTTGTTGATATACTTGCTAATTTGAATATTTTAATGATGTGATTTATGTTTAATTTTAAATGGATAAGTTCCTGATGGTTCTTTTTAATTTGTTGGTATGGTAAAGTAGTAAAATTTTGATTTCTAAACATATGTATGCATAGTTGCCGCTTACTTCGTTTAAATTACTTAGGCTACAAGGAGTGGTGTCAATATTGTTGAGCGCCACTCGACTTCTTTTTTGCCCACATCAACATCCAACCCTTACAAAGGAGAGAGACTCGGTAGCTCACTGTTGATGGAGACATTTTTTCTTCACTTGTCGAGCGTGAGGGGCGGTGTGCCCTCGACATGCCAAGCTCCACGTAGGAGATGCTAAGTTGCTTGTCGTCCCAGTCCTCACAGCCTTAGTAATATCACATTAGATGTGCAAAAATATGGATGAATAATTTATTTGATATTCTTGAAAAGGTTGAAGGACTATTAAACTGAAGGGAAAATGAATTTGTAGATGAACTATCATTTTTGTAGATATCTAATCATGTTTTTTGTACACGGTTTACCATTACATTCACGAGATGTTCAAAACCTACCATTTTGACTAGGTATTGCATCAAAATCGAATCACCGCCACCAAAAAACCAATCTAAAATCAGTTTCAACCTGCATCAAAATCTATTCAAACATCCGAGTGATTCAAACCTAAAAGCTTATTTAAATCTCCAATCAATTCAAAATTATTCCAACAATAAAATCGCTTCTTGAATAGAGGTGTTTATCAACGGTGCACAATTCAAGAAGAAATGGGCGGGAGAAGGACATGGAAGTACCGTGGTTTTCATAAAGTAGCAGGAGAGAGAGGGGAGCTAGGAAATATGTGATCTACATCAAGAGGGATGTCAACGGTAGTAAAGAGAGGGGTGATGACGTTTTTACCGGATAGGAGAAGAAAGAGATTATGTGATTTGCAGTGTTTTTAAAAAATAAACATGTAAGATAGTGTTTTCTTTATTCTTTGGAATTGTATCGGGACGAGTGATGAAAACAACTAAATATGTATAAAAGTTAGTTTAATGATAAATTTTATACAAAATATGAGTTTAATGATGTTTTTTGAACAGAAAAACCAACTATACCAACAACGGTCAAAAAGGTATTATTTCTTTAATAACAAATGTGAAATTGTAAATCGTTAAAAACAATGACTAAATGGTATAAAAAATTATATTTCATTATCACTTTTCCTAAGCTAAATTGTTAAAATAAATCGATAACCCAAATTTCTCAAACTTTAACTTTATTGAACTAAAAAGCCGTTGGACGTAATGTTTTTACAAAAATATTTGTTATTATAAACTAATCACATGGGAATTGTCAAGACATGTGAAAAATACCTGTCGTATATAATTTGAACTAGTCAAATAAAACATGATGACATGCACTAAAATATTAATGTTCTGTTGTGACGTTTGTCAAAATTCAAAAACGTTCTTTTACAAATCTTATTCATTCTTCTTTAACACATGTTTTCTCTTTACACCTTGATCCTATCAATATAAATATTAAACTTTGACACCTTTTTTCAATCCATGAACAGTTTTGTTTACTCTAAAAAATATTAACTACTAAAAAAATACTAATATCATCAACACTCACTATCGACGTGAGAAAAAAAAAAGTAGATGAAATGATCTAACATGATGTATTATACGTAACGTTTAGAGTTGCCAATAGGTAACAAACATTGACGAGGAGTTTACCAATATCAATATCTTTGTTGATTTTTTGTCTACCAATGTTTTTTTATTCATTGTAAGATATTAATCAATGTTTGTTTTATTATCTACAAAATCCATTTCCACTATCCTCCTATTTTTAAAACTACAAAATATAAACTATATCACCAACAAGTCAATAGAAGAAGATCCAAATGGCATATTTGTAAATTGTACTAATTCACTAAACATTATGCTAAAATCGAAATCTGATCATGACTCAGCACGTGGCAATAAGAAACTGAAACCTGAATTATCACGAATAAGTGGTGGGGGCTCCACATCTGCTATATTAATCTGATCCATTGATTTCGAGAGATCATCAACAGAGAATGGGATGCTGCATCACAGGATATAAAACTCATATGATAAAATATCAACAGAAAAATAATATATATATATATATATATATATATATATATATATATATATATATATACAAAAATTTATTCTAATAATAATAAATAAATGTTCAAAACCTTGAGTCATCATCCAGCAAGAAAGAGCTGCTCACTGCGTTATTTGAATCTTCTGTCATCAGCACTCTCATGTTGGAAATAACCTGTCAAATAGATAGTAATAATTAGAGTAATAAATAATTGATTAATTATAGTAAGTTTGTGTTAATTAAAATATAAAAACATACATCTGGAGAAAGGCTATGTGTGCCATATTTGTCATCCCAATACATAGTACTGATTCTGTATAGCTGTTGTATGCTAAGAACAGGGCACAGATCATGACTTATTTCATCCAGTGACTTTTTGGGCTTTTGATGTATAACCTAAATTCAAAAAATGGAAAAATTGATAAGCAATTAATCAGATAAATTGTATAAAACAAAATTAAAAGCATAAGATGGAATACCAGGAACCCGATAGCTTGTCTTATGTGCTTAAGCTCATCCCAAGCTGATCCCGCATACTGGAATTTTGATTTTATTATTATTAATTTTTGTAAAATCAGATAAACAATTAGCAACAATATTAAAAAAACAAAAGAAAAAAGAAAATGTTACTTCTTCAGTTGCTTTGTAGCACCAATGTTCCAATTCAGATAATCCTGCCTTTACATATTCTCCATTACTGAAAGAGCAGCATTCTCGTCTCAACAGAAGACTGCAAGTATACGGATTAAAAAAATAAATAAATAATTAAATTGAATGAATAAGCTTTGGCTCATGTACTAAGTAAACAGACATGTAGATTGTAGTGAAAGATTATTGTGTGAGAACCTGTTGAATAATTGTACATTGATGAAAGAAAATATCTGTGTGAAGATTTTGCGAACCAAAAACGGTGGCACCTACAAGGACAAAATAATAAAGTTTTTTTGCATAATAATAATAATAATAATAATAATAATAATAGCTGATGCAAAAAATAGCAACCTACTTTCTTTTGTTTGTGTATTATATATCATCCTACTTTCATTTATTTCTACTACAGCATTAAACTTCCATTTTTTTCCCTTATCAATACATACTTTAAAAATTCTACCCAATAATAGCATCATACTTTCAATTTTTTTCTTTGTATTTGGATGACATTGCTATACCTGGGTGGATTTTTCAAAGTGCAATGCTATAACATGAAGAAATAAAAGTAGTATGCTATATAGTAAACAAATCAAATGAAAGTACATTGCTATTTCTGAGATGTGAGAGATAAGGGACTGACATTGTTAGACTTCAACATGTTTAGGAAGCATCCAATGTTGTTAACAATCCCTTGCCAGTGAGCAATGAGAATGTCCTGAGAAGCAGCACTTGCTAGTGCAACAGCTGTCCCTTTTAGCAAGTTTGCTCTGGATATTCTTGGTGCCTACTCATTCCCAAACTTATAACATGTTAAAAACTTTCCAAAGGATTCAATAAAAATTTATAATAGGAATAGGTCAAGTACCTGAATGCACAATCCAAGCAAGGGGGAAATCTCTTTCTTTAAATTGTCACGTATCATTCCATATATTTTTTCAACATATGCTGTTAACTGCTGCTTGAAAAGCAAAGCAGGGTATTTGGCTTCAACTTGCTGCAACGTGTCAGATGCACCATCTGACCCCCCATCTATCATAGATATGTTTACACCTTGCGGGGTTCCACGAAAGCTCTACAAAAAAGGAAAAAAAATGTGAAATATAAATAAATAAATACAAGATTTTGTTTTTTGTTTATTTATTGTATTTTTTTACCTGAGTCATCCTTCCAAAAAGGGTAGCTGATGTGGTTCGCCGGTGCTGTGGGGCCCCAGCAGCGCCACTAGCTTTCAATGTGCGTTGTAACAACAGGAGCAGTGTTGATGCATTCGATAACCAATACGCTAGGACATCGTTGTTATCTTGTGTCTTCATTCAAAAGGTACCATATGTTAATAATAGAGTAAATTACATTTTTAGTCCCTATGTTATGTATAACTGATGTTTGCAATTTTGGTCCTTGTTTGTTCCATGAGTAAAGCTGATTTTTGCAATTTTGGTCCTAAAATCATAGGCATTTCACTTGGATCAGGGACCAAAAATCTATAGACCAAAATTGTAGGAGAAAACTTTTTGGGACCAAAACTGAAAAAATCAGCTATATATACTCAAGGACCCAAAATGTAATTTACTATATAATACAACAATGAGATGTAGTTATACCACATGAATATATAGATTTTTTTAACAAATCATACCTCGATTGCTTGGCCTATGGTTTGAATTATACGATCAAAAATGCTGGTTTTTTCTACTTCAAAAGACCGCCACTGTCTCAAACATTTGTATATGATGCAGGCGGCGACTGGACGGCCTTTTGAGAACCCAAGCTGTTGGGCGATACATCGAATGAGCAAATCCTGATATTCTTGTTGTTTCTCATTAAGTGACTTTTGTGGTCTCTCCTCCACGTCATTATCCCTCATTTGCATTGAAGGGCTATGAAGATCCTGTAACATTTTAAAAGAGAGAGAGATACAAAAATCAATTCAAAATACTAATTATAAGTAATTTTGAGACACCTCGACTTACCACAGGAGTACTAGGAGTACTGGTACTTTTTGTACTTTCGGTTCTCTGTCATTGTTCAAGAAAGAGAGATATGTGTAAGCGTTGGAATTTATCTGTAAGATGAAAAATGGAGATTGTTTTTATGAATGTACCCTAATTGACTTCGAACGTGCTGCCTGTAGCTTGGTGTTTTGTGCCATTGTTAAGGCTTGTTGACGAAGGACCTTGTTTTCCGACTCTATGTTGGCAAGCTTCTCTTCAAGCCTATCAAGTATAAGAATATAGTAAATTCATTTTTTTTTTCTGAAGTACCATGTGCAAACAGTTCTTAATATGATGACTGTAGGTGTACATACCTATTCATAGATTCCTGAAGTTGATTTGCTCTGTTCACTGTTTCTTCCAATTTCTGCTGTTTAACTTGACTTGTTTCTACGGTTTCGTTGCACTTCTTTTCAGATTCATTAGCTCGGTTTTTCTCTGATTCTAATAATTTCTGCAAATCAACATTTATGTAAAGTGAGACTTATTAGTAAATTGAGATGTGAGATAGAACTATTAGAAAACCAACATCACCTTCAATTCTTCAACTTCTGCACTTAATTTATCAATCTTTTCTGTGTCTTCAACATGGATTGGGACAGTTTCTTTAACAATAGTTGATGCTTCTTCAATTGCTTTCTTTGCAGCTTCACGTTCCTTTGTAAGCAATGTATTTGTTTCATCAAATTTAGCCTGCATAGCTTGCAAGGAGTTCTGCAATTTCAGAATCTCCTGTCCTTTTGCTTCTTCCAAGTCAGTCTGCATCATTACCCATTTTCATTTCATCACAACACAAATTGAGTTTTAGTTCACAGAATAATAACATGTAGATTAATGCATTACCTTCAAGCGTTTTTCTAACTGTAAACGCCAAGTCAGGTCTTCCACTTGTGCTTGAAGCTTATCCTTTGCTTCTTGTAATGCACCTGTTTCTCTTGCAGCCTGTATATGTTAAAAATGAGCAATTAAATGTTGAGATTAGTTGGCTAATATGAAAAAAGCATTTTGTCCCACATTAGTAGAGTGTAAAAAGATGGAGTGCGCTTCATGCTTATAAAAATACACTTTTAAATATTTGATTTTTTTCTTTACTTCTCTTGAGTGTGAGTGTAGTCAGATAATTGGCTAGACAGGTTATCTATGTGATTGTAAGAATTTGTCATATATTAAATTTTTCTCTATAGATCATTGGGCAGGTTGTTGGGGATCTTTGAGACCATTTTTCCCAACACTAATAACATGTAGATTGATGCATGGTAACTTTTAGTGTAACTATATATAAGAGAAGCCAACCATCTTTAGTTTCCGAAGCTCCTTCTTAGCAACTCTTCCCCTCCATCGGGTCTGTGTGACAATTGCTGCCCGCATCAGTCTCTTATAGTATTTAAAGTCTCTATGACGATGCCAGTTAGCCTGCAGTCATTGGTTCGTTAGAGTAAAAAGAAAAAAAAAATTGAATTTAAAACGCAACATGTAAATATCCAGGTAGGTACTGTACTGACTTGTACAAGGAGTGCTGCTTTAGTTGTCTTTTTGTATCTAAATGCCTTATGAGCAGCCATGGCCCGCAACCCTGTCTGGAGGACTACACTTGAGTGCTTAAGTCTGTCGTATGACATCCAAAATAAGTGTCGCCTATAATTTTTCTGTATTTTAAGTGAAGCAGCCTGCCTTTTCATGTGATCAAATAATTTAGCAGCAAGCTTTCCTAGTAAAAACAAAAGAGAGGGTGAGCGAAATCATTTACAGATCATACATGCAAAAAAAAGGGTGAGTGTTATTTATGTGGAAAGACAAACCTCTGCAGAGAGATTGCAATGAAATGGAAGCTTTCCTCAAAGAAAGAAAACGGTTCCTAGTGATATGAGTTCTTATTTTTCTTTGAATTTTTTTGGCTGCAGTGTTGAGTTTTTGTGCTCTCCTTCCATCTAGTTCAGCCATCTGACCAGCCCTAAGGAAAACTTTTGTTTTGCCTATCTGGCAAACCATTTATACATGGAAATTTAGTAAAAATTAAGAATGCTAATCTAAGCAACATCTTATATTTACCTGAGACCCTTGGAGCCCCATCTTGTCAAGAATCTTTTTACATGCATCCTTTGCATCAAGACTGATAATATAAGCAACAAACTCGGTGTAAGAACCAATATGTTCCTCAATTTTCAGCATTGTTTGAATTAGATAAAAGAAAAGAACTTTTACTTACTTCCCTCCCAAAACCTCAGGGGCCAGAAGACTGAATCGGTTAAGGAAATCAAAAAAACTCTTGCGAGTTGGGTATCCAGCCATGCTTATACGGATCGCCTCTAGAACCCCCTTCATGATTAGTAAAAAAATCATATTATATGAGATTAAGTATTACAAAATTGAGTTAGAATATTGGTATTTATTTCAAATACACTCACCCCACAACGTAACTGTTGCATGATGTTGGCATTCTCAAAGATAGAAGGTTTAAGAAGATTATTTGGCTTCACACATCTAATATAATGGGGTTCTGTGGAATTTAGAGTCTCCATTAAAGATTGAAGTTGTAGCTGCATTAATCAAGAAAGATATTAGATCTATTTTCCCAACATCTATATTTTCTTTTATTCCTTTTGGAGGGAGGCAAATTACTGCCATGACTTATGAGTATTCCCCAGTTGGAGGCTTAAAATCAGGGTAGGCCCTATTGTCATTTTCCCTGTTTGTGATTTTCGTAGTCTCTCTACCAATGCGTGGAGGAACAACTACATACATATAACCTCCCCTTATCGTATTTCATTATGGGATTTTTGGTTTTAATATTGTTGTTTTCTTTTTAGGACTGATTTCTTTCTCTCTGTTGTGGGATTTTTTTTTAGAGAAAACTTGCCTTGAAGCGAGAACCTATTGATGAAAACTTAGCAGATTTGCTTGAAGATTTGTTTGACTCCTCAGGGAGTGGAGGGAAAAGTCCTGCTACGAAAGAGCATTTGGAAGCCATCAATAAATCTTGATGTTCAGGAACAACATAATCTTTGTTTTTGTCTAGAAATAGTTCCGATTGATAATTAACCTGAATATAAATATAAAGCAAATAGCTACTTCAGGTCTGGATAAACATTAGCAGCTCCTTAGTACATGATAGATTATAAAAAATTTCATATACCTCTCCTGCATAATGAGAAATGGTGAAATCGCTGCGAGCCAATTTGGGTTTGATAAATCTTGGGTGCTTAGTAAATGTTTGGTAAAGCTTCTGTGCAAATGTTTCATGAGTTGACTTGGGAAACATACTGTAAAACATAATAAGTGGCATAAGCTAACAAAAATCTGAGTCACCATGGTAAACTGTAAACAGACATATTATCAAACATTTTCTTCATAGTTCATACCATGCTTCATCAAGCAGAGCAATAATTCCACCAGGTTTCTGCAAAAGTAGCACAACCATTAAAACGTGATTTTCAAAGTTATTATTTGGATTTCAAGTTACACAAACCTTTTCAATAAGTTCTAGGACATCTTTATTATCTACAAACTCTATGTAGCTCCAGTCAATTTGCTCTTTGGTATATTCCTCTTGCTCCATCTTGAAAACATGCTGTAGGAAATAAAATAAAAAACAATAAACATCTATGATAAGTTCAAAAAAGGGATATGTGACCCTTTATGTCAAATCTCACCTGATTGAAATGTTGTTGCAGCTTCTCATTGGTGAAATTAATACAAAATTGTTCAAAACTGCACAAGGAAAACTCTTGGTGATCATCACGAATCACGATCAAGTCAAGAAGAAGCACTAAAACTAATGATTATTTCACAAGATCAAATTTACCTATTTTGCTTGAAGCTCTCAAAACCATAAATGTCAAGAACACCAATCAGATATTTTGAATTTGGATCTTGCCCAATAGACATATTAATTTTATCAACTAACCTGCAGATTTGAATGATCATGCAACTTTAGAACCAGTGTAGTAATTCAACTTATTTTAATTAAAAAAAGGGACAGAGAACAACATACCAATCAAATAAACGGGAATATAATGTCTTGGCCAAACCATCTCTGCTAATGGTTGCAGCATCAGGATTAAGACTTCTTTTAATTACTTCTTCAGGGGTAACCATCACACGTTTTAATAATGCGTCCTCCAGTGCAGCACGATCACACCTGCAAATCATATGAACATCAAATCAGAAAGGATAAATCCATACACACACATATATTGTTTACATAACAACCAGGAAATTCGTTTTTGATGTGGAAGATCAGACACAACTGCAACCACAGAGATACTACAAACCTCTATAATCAACACACAAAGTAACTGAGGGGCAATGTTGCAATCACATAGCATACTACAAACCACTACAAAACAAGACCTCCCTCAAACTTGGAGTTTTGATACCACTTGTTGGGAAAATGGTCTCAAAGATTTTCAAAACACACACACACATATATATACAATCAAAGATTTGATACCACTTATTGTGTGGACAGTGCTATTATGTGAGAATAACTGAGAGAATAGGTTGTTTGGCAATGTGAATACGTTCAACCTCACATAACTATTGCAATTATCACGCATTCTCACTAATTAAATTGTGTATAAGGGTAGTATGGACTTTTTTTATGATTCTCATTATGTCAGAATGTGTTCTTGATAATCGTATTTTGTAAGAATGAGAACGAATGAATAACGATACGTTTGAACAAGAATGAATGAGCATTAGTGAGAATGCATGATAATGACAATAGTTATGTGAGGTTAAACGTATGTATATATAATGATACAAGAAAGAAAGCGATGTATAAGTTGTAAACACACATGAGTAGCTCTGCACACGTCTTCAGATGAAATTTGGATTTGTCATCTTTCAGGAGCGATGAATCAACCTCTTTTCCTTTGATAAATTGAACATTACCAAGATGGAGAATTGCAGCCACAAGTCTAAAAATTGCTTCCTGGAAAATAGGAGAATATGTGATATTGTTATTGCAGTTTCATTTGAATTTACAATAAATTATGAAAATAATGAGGTTCATGTAACCTGGTCCTTGTCAGTTATTCCAACAACATCCATAGCTCTCCTAGTTGCTAGATACTCATGAGCATCACTTATACCAACAAGTTGGAAGCAACTTGATTGATTGAGATAGTGAAACGATTTAGGGTCTCCCAATTTATATTTCTCAACTTCCTGAGAAGAACTCAAAACAGCTATTATTTCATAAAATAGCTAGAATCTTAGTTACAGAATGTGCATTGCGTGTGATTCTACCTCCGGAGGTGCTGCACATAGAAGATAGAAACAGTGATAGTTACGTTCAGGATCTGAAATCTGACAAACACGAGATCTTTCTAGAAGGTATGTCCGGATGGCTGCTCCAGATATTCTATCATGTTTATCAAACTGAATCTCAACAAATTTTCCAAAACGACTGCAGCAAGATGGATAAAAAAACATCAGAAATTCACACTGAAAATGGTTTTGTAATATAATTTTACAATTACTGCACCTTGAATTATTATTCCTGACAGTTTTTGCATTTCCAAATGCTTCCAGAACTGGATTTGACTGAATTTATGACATTTAATCGAAAGAGTCGGATAAGTTACTTTATAAAAAATAGATATTTTCATTGAGAAATATAGAAGATTTTGTCAACTTACTTCTAGAACTTGTTGTTCAACTGTTCTTCCTTCAGTGCCTTTACGACCACCCAAATAGGCAAGATATCGCATAAGCATTTTAGTAGTCTCCGTCTTACCGGCCCCACTTTCACCACTAACCAAGATTGAGTTGCTTTTTCCTTCAGTAATCATTGCCCTGATTCATCTCAAGTGACAATGTTTACATAATTATATTAATATAGATATCTAGATATATAGATGTATAGATATATGTTAAGTTTTCACATTGCAATAAGAAAGGCAAATTACCTAAAAGCAACATCTGCAATTGCAAAAACGTGAGGACTGAGTTCCCCAAATGGTGCTCCTTTGTATTGTTCCATCATATGAGTCTCATACAAGTGAGACAATCTTTGAAATGGATTAATGGCAATGAGGATATTTCCGGTATAAGTCTGCCATTATATAGTCCATAGCTATAATCAACAATAATAAATAGATAAATGAATTAGACTTGAAGATCTCCTTACATAAATTTCATTTAGTTGAAATCTTGTGGATAAATTCTGCAAAACTCCTGGTTCGTGCAAATAAGAAAGCTTGGTCATGTCATCAACTCCACCAGCTGGAGCATCCACATCTTTGGGATATATTTTTGATAATTTTGCAGTAATCTGTCAACAGTTATGGAGAAAGTTCCCAAAGTGAAGAAAGTATGGAGCTAGAAACTAAATTAAAGTTCTTTACTTTTTGCCTTTAATCTTGATAACTGTGTATTTTTTTTCCACATAAACTGTGATTTCAAAAGATTAAAACCAAACTGATGCTCAGTTGAAAGAGTATAAGATCAACTTACTTTCTTTCCATCAGTTGTTTCGACCTCAACTTCCTGTTTATTAATCTTTGTAACTTGTCCATCAATCCAGCATATATTTGGGTCTTCTACCCATACATGGGTGCCTAGGATGATATTAACTGCTTCAGCCTGCATTATGATTAGATGCCAGATGTTTAGGGGAGAATATACAAACATGCAGCTCTCATAGGAGATATGGAGCATTTAATCACTTGTATGCATTTCTAATCATGTCGTGTAATTATATGCACCATTGTTCATAAACACAAAAAATACTCTTCAAATTGCAACTTTATTGCACACTATTATGTTTGTTCCTTAATGTTCCAATAAGATAGTAACTAAAGCTTTACATTCAGGGATAAACGTGTCAGATCTCGAATCAAAATTTTCAGTCAGAAGTGCAACAATTCATTCATATTTCAATAACATATACCAAATCCTTAATAACATCATGTAATAAGTTCAACTACTGTCGTAAATAAACATAAAATCACGCTTTGATATCGAATGAGAAGCAAACATACCATCTCAACACTGAAATCAGAGTTTGATTACTTCCACTCCCTTCATCTCTCGTGTCCTTCACATCATAAATCAAAATCGACCGCGCAATGCGATCGTATAGTGCCAAACGAAAACTGAGTCGGAGTGTGGAAATGAGGTTACCGTCTCCGGCGAAGTAGATACAGCACGGCGATAATGAAGAGTGAGAAATTGAAAATTCGAGAGAGTATTGGATTGGTGTGATTTGGAAAACATTGCTGTTAGAAAACCCTAGGGAATCGGAGGCGTTTGAATTCATGTAGAAATTCGCTGATTTCTGGGAGCTTCTTGTGGTTGTGGCTCTCTTCATGGTATTTTGGCGGGGGAGATACGAGTTTTGCTTCGACCATAAACACTCTGATCCTACAAAGTTGGAACAGGTCTAATCATTCTTTGTTAATTGTTTTTATAAAGACAAATCAATTCTTTTCCGTAAAAATTAAAACAAATATGACAAATTTTATTCGGAGTTTAGCTTTTGTTTTTAGAAGATATAGTTAGAGGTGTGGCTAGGCTAAAGTTTATATATATATATATATATATATATATATATATATATATATATATATATATATATATATATATATATATTTGTTGGTGATAAAAACATGTTTAGGATTTTTGAGGAAGTTTAAATTGTGGCTTCATGAAATTTAAACTAATATGTTTATTGTTGGGAAAATGATTTAAGAGCGTAATGAAATATCGTTTTTGTTCACATTTAGTCATTTTTTTTTTTTTGTATTTCATTTACCATTGAACTTATTGTATGTGTTCAAAAAATACCCTTATTACCGGTTATTGAAGGTTTCCGGCAACTTTGTCATCTCCGGCGACTCTCCGATCATCTTCTCCGACAAGTCACCGGCGAACATTACTTTTCCGGCGATTTTAAATCTTTTCCTAAATCATTTAAACCAAAAAACACATATCATAAATCAACTAACACATCCTGAACATGTTTCTTCCATGGATAACCTTCAAACCATTTCAAAAATAAAAACGCTGCCATGTCATGGATGAACCTTCAAACACAGATTTAAAAACCCATAAGCGAAATCAAAAGCTTGGAGTGTAACGCTCGGTTCCAAGGTATTTATTATTTCGACCCTTATTAATAAATTAATTCGCAAATTTGGTCCCAAGGGGGTGAAAGTGAAACTTTTGGGAAAAAAGGAGTACGTTGGGTGTGCGTTGTCCAGGGGAAAACCCTAATTTTTAGGGTTTGGACCATGGAGCTTGAGGTTGCCCCCTCATCAGCCTCCTTACCCTAGAAGATAACCCACGAAACCCTAGCCCTCTTTTGAGTGCTCTTGAGCTTTGAAGTGATCTTGTAGCACTTTTAGGTGGTTCTTGGTGAAGAAGAAGTGGTGCATTCAAGCTTTGGATTCAGATTCTACACCTTGTTGTGCATGTTTAGAAGGTATCGAGCTCACACCTTGGAGTTCTATGTTCTAGATCTCATATTGTTCATGTTTATGCACTTTTTGTCCCAAAACCATGGTCTTATAGAGTATGGACTACTCCAGACCATTTGAGTTGTCCTTTTGGGCATTTAGGAAATCAAAGAGTCATAAAAATCGAATCTTGGAAGTGAAAGTTCATTCATGTTTGAGTTGTTGGCATTTGTGTGAAGTTTTGGACCTAGGGTTTGGTATTGGGTCCTTTTTAGCCATGCAAGTTAGTAAAGCTGTCGACTTTATGGTTTAAGACCTTATTTAGTAGTAGATCAGAGGTTTGGACGTTAAGGTCTTAAGGGATTAAGACCCTAGGTTAGCTTTTGGGACTCTGGCCAGTACATCGGGCGTACTCCTTAGTACGCTGCATGTATTAGGCCAACAACCCGCTTTTGGGTCAACGAGTGTACGCCATGTTGTGGGCCTCCCTCGATTGTGGGCCACTTTTGGGCTAGTTCCGCCATTGTGGGGTTTTGGGATTTCATATTTAGGCCTAGTAAGGGAATGGTAAAGTTGTCTTTTATCCTAAGAGTCGGGATTTAAGACTTAGACTGTAACGCTCAATATTCTCCAAGGTATTATTTATTTATATATTGGGGTAATTAATTGAATTGGTTTGGGCTTGGACCCATTTGGTCCTTATGATTAGGTTGAGGAGTGTCGTACGCGGGGCGTACCACTCTAAGTACGCGCATAGTACTCACAAGTTATGGACGCGGATGCCATGCGCGTACGCGCAGCGTACGCATGCAAACCCCAAAACCCTAAAATTTAGGGATGATCCCTGTATAAATAACATTATTCCCTAAAGTCCAGCCACCCTCTCATCCTTAAGCTACTCCTACGAAACCCTAATCCATATTTTGTGTGTTCTTGTTCTTGGAAGGCCTTTTGAGAGCATTTTGGTGTTTTGGATCCATTCTCCAAGGAAGTGAAGAGCAAAGCAAGGTGGTGGTTTAAAGGAGAAGTTGTAGATCTGGGATTGTTGCTTCATTTCAGACCTTTTCAAGGTATAAAGTCTTGAACTTGATCCTTAAGTGCTTAGATCTCTTATGTTGAGTTTTTGGACATTTTTGGTCCCAAGAATGGAGCTTTATGATTCCAAACCCGTTTCTAGGCTTAGGGTTGCCACCCTTGGTGCTATTTGAGTCCCTAAGACAGAAAGTTGCCATCTTGAGGGTCTTAATGGGTTCATGCAAGAGTTATGGCCATTTTCATGGAAGTAGATTGCTATACTTTGAGTTTGGGTTCATGTGGGTCGTATAAAGTCACCAAGTCAGTGACTTTATGGATTAAGACGTTGAAGAGGACTTGGATCTGTGATTTTAGCCTTTGGAATAGAGTATTAAGTGCTTAATGGTATAAGTGGCTTAACAGAGCAGTACGATGGGCGTACAAGCATGTACGTGCAACGTACATGCCATGCAGCCTGTACGCTTAGCGTATAGTGGAGTACGCCCCGCATACTCACTGGATTTGGGCTTTACGTTATTTGAGCCTCGGTTTGGGCCATTCCTTGGACTTTGCTATTTTGGGCCATAGTGGGCCATCAGAAATCAATTAGTTTGGGCTAAGAATATGTTGGGCTTAATAGAAAGCCTATTTGAGGAGTTGGGCCCAATTTAGAAAATTGGGCCATTGGTGGGTCACTAGTGGGCTTGGGAAGGCTATCTAGATTTGGGCCTTTCATGTTATGGTTTTGGGCCTTAGACATTGACCAAATTAGATCAGGGGTAAAATGGTCATTTTACCCTAAGAAGGATTATGGAATTTTGACTAAGTGTTATTGTGGTAATGATAGCTCGGGGAGTCGTCAGAGCAGCCGTTAGAGATTCCTTACCGTGAGATTCTGCATTCAGCTTTGCGAGGTGAGTTTCCTCCTGTAGGAACGGGTCACCAATGTCGGCCCGTATGTATGATTGTATGTTTCAGATTTCGATCCGATGTCGGGCGGTGCCCGATGAATGTTTATATGCGTTCCGAACTACGGTTCGATGTCGGGCGATGCCCGAGGAATGTTTGTATGCTTGATGTCTTCGTGATTATTCCAAGTGTTTGTATTTGTATGTTTCTGGATTACGGTCTGATGCCGGGCAATGCCCGAGGAATGTTAGTATGCTTCCGGATTTCGGTCCGATGTCGGGCGGGGCCCGAGGAATGTTTATATGTTTATGTTATGTGAATATTTTATGTGTATTTGTTGATATGTTATTATGTATACCGAGCTTTGCTCAATGCTGGGCGGGGCCCGATGCCAGATTTCGGACCGATGTCGGGCGGGGACCGATGTCGGACATTGTTCGATGTCGGGCGGGGCCCGATGAAGGGGTGGGGCCCACGATATGTTTATATGTAATTATGTGCTTATGTATATGGTATGTGGTAGTTTGGGGCGACTCACTATGCTTCGTGCTTACAGTTTTTAGTTTTGGTTTCAGGTACTTTTGGCAGCAAAGGGAAGAGCTCAGGATGACTGCATTGCACACACCATTATGTTTTAGCCTGGGAGGTTACTCTGATATATATATATATATATATATATATATCACAGATGTTTATGATGTTTTGAGATACTATGACTTATGATTTGATGAGATGATTTTGATAACTATGGTTTTATTAATAAATAAAAACGAAATTTTTTGTCATGATTTTTGGGATGTTACAAGTTGGTATCAGAGCCTTGGTTTGAGGGATTCGGGCACACTCTCGGGTGTGTCTGGACTCAAACTGAGGACTTGGTATAAATTTTTTTTAAAAGAAAACCATTTTTATAAAAAGGATTTTGAAAAGAGAAAAGGGTGTGATGCATGCAATCAGTCGAGCTCAAGTAAGTTCTCCTAAATTACCCATACATGTTTGTTATGATATGATATGATTATGAGAACTGCATGCTAGATTAGGGCTAATGATCTAGGAAGGATGCCTTGTATGCATGCTATATGACGTTCAGAACACATGAACTAAACGATTGTATGCGCAACATCAAGATGGCCCTTCGTTTTGAGGACAAGGAGCATGTCCTCGAGAGATCATTGGATGAGATGGACGAAGAGAAGGCCACTCCTGAAGAAATGGTTGCCTACAAGAAACACTATAATGATGCCACAAAAGTTGTGTGCATCATGGTGGCGACAATGAATCCAGAATTGCAAAGGCACTATGAGGATTACTGGCCGTACGAGGTGAACAAGGACCTTATAGAGAAATACCATAAGCACGCTCATCAAGAAAAGTACAAAGTGGTAAAGTCCCTCATTGCTAGAAAGATGAAGGAGGGTGAGTTTGTTAGTAGCCATGTCCAGAGAATGCAACGATATGTGGATAGGTTGATCAAGCTCAACGTGAATTTTGATTAAGAGTTGGCAATCGACATAGTGTTGAACTCTCTTCCAAGTTGTTATGATCAGTTCATATTGACCTATCATTTGAACAACAACGAAACTACTTTGTCTCAATTGCACGACCTCCTGCGAGCAGCTGAAGCAAGAATAAAGGGAAAATGTATTGCCTCTACTCCTGCTAGTGCAATTGTTCTGACCATAGGTCAAGGAAAAGGGAAGAATAGGAAAGGTCCTCCAAAGAAAAACTGGAAGGGAAAGTCCCAAGTTGGGTCGTCGAGTACAAGACCCAAAGGAAAATCTAGTTCTAATGCTCCCCCTGTTTTTGATCCCAAGGAGGCCACTTGTTTCTATTGCAATGACAAGGGGCATTGGAAACGAAGCTGCCCAAAATACTTTAATGATATCAAGGATGGCAAGGTGAAGCCAACATCGGCAGGTATTTACACTATCTTATCTAATAACTCATCATATTCTCGTTCTTGGGTCCTTGATATAGGATGTGGGTTTCACATTTGTTCTGGTTTGAAGGGGATAAAAAGAAGTGAGGATGTGAAGCATGGAAGGATGAATTTGATCATGGGGAATAGGCGATCTTCACCTATCAC